AATGTTTTATTACAATTGCCTTACTAAACTCATCCTTATTAAAGATTCTTTATTTTAACACAATACCTCAATTTAGATTCTTGTAGCTACAAAAATTTTTTGTTTAGATATCTCAACTAACACTTATGTTTATTTATTGTCTCAATCCTCGAATTTAGATTTGTCTACCAAGACATCAACTATTAAATAAATTTTTTCAACCCTTATTTGATCAATGCTAAGGTTAGTGGTTGATGAAACGTGATATTTATCGTATATCCTCAACGAAGATTTTGTTAACCTTCACACCTGTTGTTTTTTAAGTGATGTTGTGTCTCATCCTAGGTATGAAGTCAAAACTCGTCAAAAATCGTACTGAAGTCATTTTGAAAACTTTGATGTAATAATATTCGACAATAACTCCAAATCTGAAAAGAAATTACTTAGCATTCGACTTATGACCTCAATAGAGATCGTTCAATTAATATGATCTAGAGTGAATATTTTAATATAAACCCTAGGAAAAATTATAAATTATTGCACACCTGATTACTCTTAATTTGAGAAACTGAAGGTAGAACATGAATATATGTTTTCACTTAATCATGATGAATAAGAAGTTTTTTAAAGAAAGAACTATTATTGCTTAGTAAAGTTTATATTCAAACCTTTTGCTATATAAGAAAATTTTTATTTGATAGAAATATATATTAGAAATAATTCGACGAAAAAATACATTAGAAATAAGAGACTTGTTATTACAAAAAAATATAAATTCATATATATCATTTTCAAAGTCGATTGATAAAAATATTATTATATATGTGTGTACTTTTTTAATCATTTGTTTTCAATTTTTCTATTGTAATATTTTGTTTAATTGATACAAATATTATTAAATATGTGTACTTTTTTAATCATTTGTTTTCAATATTTTTATTTAATATTTTGTTTAATTGATACAGATATTATTATATATGTGTACTTTTTTAAGTTTTTGTCAAAATGTAAGTTATTATTAAGTTTTGGTGAAAATGAGTAAGAAAATTTACTTGATAAGATTTAATCATATACTTTTTATTTAAACAAATTCGATATAGTCACTCTCTATTTCCATCTTTATATTTTTTTAATTGACAAAAATATTATACTTTTGTGTGTTTGTTTACATTCTCATAAAAAGGTCATTTATTATTAATTTTTAGTAAAAATGAGTAGAAATATTAAAAGAAGAGAGAGATAGCTCCATAAATAGATCAATAATGAATTTTTTGTTTGCAAAAAAAGTTGTCCACCTTGGCAACTTGTGAATTCTCCAAGTGCTTATGTGGCAAGAAGTTACTTTTGAATTGCCATAATTAGGGGTGGTATTCGGTTTTCCGGTTAGCGGTATAACCGGTAACCGAACCGGTAACCGGCGGTTACCGGTTATACCGATAACCGGAAAACTCGGTATACTGTAACATGATGTGGGTTACTCGGTATACCGAGTTATATCCGGTTAATAACCGGCGATTACCCGGTATACCGATAACCGGAACGCACAGACTTCCCCACCCTAATTTCCCTGCAGCCCGCAAAGTAAAATTCTCAACCCTTCATTTTTTCCCCACTTTCTTCTTCCCCGACTCTCTCTCTGCAACCAACTCACTCTCTCTCTCTTCTCCCCCAACTACATGCGAACTCTTCCTTCTCTTCTCCCCATCTTCTTCCATAAGACCCTGATCATCTCTTCCTTCTCTTCTTCCCGTATTTCCCTAAGCCCCACCGCAGATCAAGGCTACCGCCGTCGTGACGCCTCGATTGGATACCGCCTCGCACCACCAAAGGGGCTACGTTGCTCACCGCTCGATTAGCCACTGTAGCCTGATCTGGAGCTTCGTCGCCGCTGCCACCGCAACACCTCCGTCGATGACCGAATCCACAGTCGATGACTGCGTGCGCAAGGGTCTTGGATCTGGAGACTTGCCGTCGCCGCCGACCGAATCCCCAGTTAATGACTGTGTGCGCAAGGGTCTTGGATCTGGAGACTTGTCGCCGCCGCCGCAGCACCTCCGCCACCGACCGAATCCCCGGTCGATGACTGCATGCGCAAGGAGATGGAGATCTGCTGCTCCACGCGCTGGATCTTCTGCTCTCCGTCCTCTGCAGAGAGTGGGGAAGAAACGAAGAGGGAAAGAAAAGGAAGGCCATATCGGGTTTTCGGATATCCGGAAAAGTAACCGTTACCGGAAATTCGGTAAGCCGATTAACCGTCAGTTTCTCGGTACCGGTTGTCGGCAGCAAAAATTGGCATCTCGGTATACCGATAACCGGTAAATCGGTAACCGGTTATACCGATACCGACCGATTACCACCCCTAGCCATAATAGATAGATAGATAGATAGATAGATAGATAGATAGATAGAGATGTGTAGACTCATCAATTGAGAAAGAAACTATTGATTATCACAAGAGTACAAGGGTAAATTTCTTGTGTTGATGTTGTGCTCTGTGTGTCGTGCGTCTTGTGTCTTGAGTAAGGTTGTGTTTCTGTGATATGTGTTGTGTTTCTCCAATTATCGTTCTCTTTTCCGAGTCGTTGCTTAGGGACAAGCAAGTATTGAGTGTGAGGTAGTGATAATTGTCGAAAACATATTGATTTTATGTGTTGAATGTGAGTATTACATAATATGTTTAAGACATATAATGTTTGTTTTAAGGCCAACTGACTCTTGAATGGTTGTAAGACCATTACCGCTATGTGTTAGTATTCTGATATATTTTAGGTGGAAAACAAGAACAAGAAGTACACAAACAGATTTCAGACCATGGACCTGCTCATAATCGAAGCAATTTGAACCGATTTTCCATGTCCCAACCTGAAAGAAGCAGCAGCTTGACTTGTACAAAAGATTTTTTCATGAATGCAACATTCCAAAATCTTAATATTTTAACTAAGAAAAGAGTTACAAAATTAATAACGATAACGTAATAATGACTAATATTTTGATGCATTACAAAAGATTTGGATAATTAATAGTATTTTAATAAGTTTGCATAATATAAAAAAATCTAAAAAACATTTGAATAAAAAATAGACATTATCCCTAAAATTAAAACAAACCCCTAAGAAAATCCCCTTCACCCAACGACAACGATCGAGAAACCATTGGTTTCCCTCAAGCCCCAACTTCCCTGAAGTCTCCACCACCGATCAATCCCCTGGCGGCTGCTCCCGGCTTCTCCTCGCCGGCGGCTGGAGCAGGAAGGATGCGCTGACCCCGCAGAATAAGAATCACCGAAAACGGCCAGGAAAAGCAGAATCAAAATCACCGTCACGAGGACGTAAACAGGCGGCCGACGGAAGATCGAAATTCGAAATCCATCTCCTCCCACAGCTGCTCCATGTCACCGCAGTGCATCGGTCAACCAATTTTATTGCTTATTTCCCCCACCGCCGGCAACTTGTGTTGTTGAGGGAGAGTAGAATTGACCACTGCTTGCGGGAAGCTGGGGCTTGACGGAAACCATGGTTTCTCGTTGTCGTTGAGTGAAGGGATTTTTTAGGGTTTGTTTTAATTTTAATTGATATATGTGGGACAAAAATTAATTAAAATTAAATTAACATCAAATGAGAGGCAATTAAGTAATTTTTCAGTTCACTTCACCGCTGTTTAACGGAAAATTACTAAATTAGGCAGAAAATTCTATATGTTATATTTTAATAGTAGAAGGATATGTTTGTGCAAAAAATTAATAAAGGGGTATATTTGTTAATTTGTGATAATAAAAGAATAGAAAATGCTATTAATCCATCTGAATACTAATGTATACTTGGCCAGAGTGGACCCTCCCTGTAGTCAGCACAATACTTGCAACCGGGAGCGGATCAGGTCAGTAATTCCTATGGTTAGTAACCAACGGTAACCTGTCCACATTCGCATGATATCAACATCCCCTCTCTCCTGGAAAGTCTTTTATATTTTCCCCTTTAATCTTTAACGGATGATTTCTCTCTCATTTTAAGTCGAAATTTAAATTTTTTTTGCACAGATAAATCAGATTAAATGTGCTCTTTAAAATGATATCCACTTTGATATCTATTTTTAGTACAAAAAAATTGAATAATTTTTTACCAATCATTACCATATGGTATGCTCATATTTAATACCATATAGTAAGAAAGCCTATCATGATGGTATGAACATACCAATATGGTAAGAAGGTTGAATACATGATAGTAGGAGTATATTAACTGTCATTTACGACTTTCATCATTGTTTACCACAAGTTACCACCCACATACCATAGTGGTAAAGTATGGTAATTTTTGGTCTACTATTTTTTTCACCCAGAAATTTGTAGATACAATAGATCATGATGAACTCGTTCCTTCTGAGCAAACGTTTTCAAAAACGACTTAAAAATGAAGTTACCATATGGTATGTAGTTGGTAAAAAAAAAGTTTCTCGAAATATATTGAAAATTGATCTCATTTTGTAGAACACAACGAACTCGTTCCATGTGTGCAAAAAAAAATTGAAATCCGAGTTAAAATGAAAAAGATAAGGGCCGATTATGAAAACTAGATAAAATAAAATATCGTTAATTGACAACCCTTAGATCTGAATTTTTTGGGTTCACTTAGATCTAATAGTCAAGATTTAGTTACTCATAGGTGAGTAATCATTTGTTACTAACCATATCATAAATGATTACTGACCTATCATAAGTTGCAACCCCTCCTTCCGATCAAACATGCTCTCAGGAGCTGGAATGGACATACAAACAAAGGGAGAGTGGATAACATGTACAATACTGCCGTGTCGGACATGTGCTCCCATGGCGGAAAATGGAAACCGGAGGTAGCATGTGGTTGTGGCGCTGTCTTGACTGGCAACGCGGCAAAGAAAAAAACATCACGTGGCAGCACATGTGTTATCAATCATTGCTTGTTTTCCAACTGCCTGCCTGTAAGTCGCTGGAAACCCAACCGAACATAACATTGCATGAAACCAACACAACTGTTAACATAGAACAAAATCTCAACTCTTTGTTCGCGTCTCTTTCCTTCCCTCATACTTGAATTCACGGAAGAGAGGTACGTTTCACTGTTCAATGATAGAATATGATTAATAAATAAAATGAAAGAACAAAAGTAGAAGAAGAAACAACAGGGAAAATTTTTCATTACACTAAAACAAGATGACCACTGATGATTTTGCTACCAAGTGTTGCTGGAACTCTCTTTTTTTTTTTCAGTACCACACAACAACGGAGAGGAGAGGACGGCTAAAGCGTTAAGTTATATAAGGCTACTCATATTCTTCTTTCTCTAGAGTAACACCACTTTTGCAACTCTCCTTATGATGCTGAATAAAGCGGATCCAGTCCATAGTAGTCCATTAAGGCAGCAGAGCAATTTCTCTGACTGGCAGAAGAGCTTCAGTCATTGCGTTCGTCTTCCTATGCACCGTTCATAGCGTTCGTGTTAGGAGCGATACCATTTGTATCTTCCATGGTCTTGCCATTCACTTGGCTTCTCAGCCGCTGAGATACAAAGGACAAAACAAACGCAGAGCATTCATCAGGACATCCACTGGAGAAGGAAGGAAGGAAGGAACACTGTTTCTCAAAAGGGTCAACAGAGTGGAATTCACTATTATACCCAATCGTCAACTGAGTTGCCATTCAACAGCTTGTGATTCTCTTCTTTGTTCTTTTCATCCTTGTCTTTTGTAGTCAAAGGTAGCAACAATGCTGCAGCTCCACCCGTCCGGTCAGGGAGTTCTGCAGAGGAAGAAGAAAAGAGTCACTAAGTCGGCATGTTTACCAAAGCAGTTCTGCAGAAAGCGAGAAAGGATACGGTAGAGAGAACACACAACATACCGGGTAATTTCTTGTCCACGAAAAATACCACCAAATTGACGGTGTACCTGAGAAGAAGAAGAAGAAGAAATGTTCATTCGTTGGAGCTAACTAATTCAGCAATCTTGTAAATGAAGTTTGTTTTGTAAGCATTATGAGTCCAGAATATGGTCAAAGGTCAGATCCTACTTACCATGCAACCACAACATCAACTGTGTAGTGCTTCCGAGATGCAATGATCAAAAAGCTCTGAACCACGGCAACAAGCCAACCTAAGTTCTTTATCCATCTGAAGATTATGGAACAGTAAGACAAATCGCAATAAGTCATTGTCTTAATGCAAATAGGGCAATGGACGCTTGGGAAAGGGCCGACAAGAAGACATATATTACCTATGGGATCCATATTTCTGATAGCTCAGGACAAATACCAAAGTGAAGATCATGTGTGATGAGAAAATCAAATCGCCACAACCAAACATGACACCCTTAGGAACTGAAAGAGGATCATATTTCAGTAAATAAAATATTCTTTTACTGTCGAAAAGCGAATGCAAATGAACATTGGTATTAACGCACTCACAGTTAATCAAGAGAACTTCAAGTACACTCTGAGGACGTGGTAATCTGGCAAGTTTTGAGCCCTGAAAAAAATGTACAAGAACCATTATTAATCCATGAGCTCAAATAAACGAAATTTGCAGCACAAATGAAAGAATTTTATCAAACCTCGCGGCAATGATAATTTGGACCGGGAAGTTGCGTGGAGTAGAACGTAATGACCCGAAGAAATTGGGAGGCCTGAGAATAATTGAGAGGGAAATCTTCAGTTTATACATACAAACAGAAGGCAAAAAAGAACGCATAAGAAGAAGAAAACCAGAGTACTAGTACGAGAACAAATAAAAGAACTTACAGATAGAAATGCTAGAACCCTGCACCACAATAGAACTGTGTAAATCTTCTTGACCTTGAAGATGAAAGGATGGAATGTCCACTGCAATAGAGCAGAAAAAAAGGACCACATTAAGGTAAATAACATAACAATCCCATCATATATACTAAAATCACGTTTCTAAAGCTGTGTAACCTAAAATCAAAATAGAATCGGACAAAGTAAAACATAGAGTTGATTGCAGTGCTACTAGAGCCAATGAACTAACTTACCAAAATAAATGATAGAAAGACACAGGTGAACAGCATCTCACTAATGTGCCCTTTATCTTGGCCAAGCTCCTAAAATATGTACAAAAGGTTTGGTTAGACAAAAGTAGACCCCTAAAATATAAGAAGGCTGCGAATACACAAATGCACACCGCGAGTTGGAAATACACATACTGGAAGAAGGTAAAACCCAACATCTTGCAAAATCGGTCCGGGGCGGTGGAAATAATGAATGCCCTTTGCACCCAAACCATGAATGTACTGCCAGAATGAGACTAGAAAATGTTAGAATAGAGACAGAAAATGGCACAAAATAAAAGGTCGAACACCACGAAGCAAACAACACAAACAAAACTGCTCGAGACACTTATGAGCTGTTCTCTCAACAAGGAATAACAGGGAAAAACTCTTGTAATTCTCAGACATGGCAACATTTCGAAAACTTTATTCCCCTTCTTGTTGGTGTCCTTAAAGCAACAACTTATGGGCAAAGATCCAAACAATCAAAACTGAGTCCAGATGGCTTGCAGCAGATGCTCCATTATTTTACCCTCTCCCAAAATAATACAGGCCACAATACTAATCGAAGAAAATTAAGATTACATGGCCTGCAGGGAGAGTTCCATAGTTGACCCGGCAGCACATATGGAAGCCAACAGAGACTCAATCCTCAAGCTAAAACCATAAAGCTCTTTCTTTTTGCCCCTTCAAACTTCTGAAGAATCTAGAAAACAGTGACCATAACATTTGAACCACTCCAATCTTGCCGGCGGGTCATTTAAAAAAGGGAAAAGGTGAAAAGCAACAAACTCTCCATGTTAATGAATTTCTCGGAGGCTTCAACATACAGAACGAAGCAGTGAAATTTGCTAGTAAATTCAACAACTATCTTCCTCCAAAACAACAACATCAAATAGAGAGACAAAGAGATGAAGCAAACCTGACAAATCAAGCCTGCAAGAATATATCTCCAATTCTCTGCTAGAAGATTTATCTCTGTACTCGTCTCTGCACAAACTCTCTTCCATAGCTTCACCCACCCAAGGAATTACAAAATAAAATCCCAACTTATCAGAATGAGCAGAATCCATGAAAGAAGCTCTACTAAATAAAATAGTAAAGATAGAAAGAAAGAAACCTTTGAAGCTTCCCGGCCAATGTAAAGCGTCATCGTGATTTTACTTCTTCTACTAATGCTGATGGTGCTCTGCTAGTGCTATATGTTATTATTACCTTGCTCTTCTGGTTGTCTTCTTGGGTGTTGTTGGTGCGTAACCACTAGTTCCATAGGGTCAACATCGCTTGCTCTCCCCTCAACGAACACACGTAACCCAGAAATCTCTCTATGTGTTTCCCCTCTTTGCCAACTCCTCCCGGGAATTTCGAACAATTAAAGAAAGAACCCAGAGAAGTAGTAAGGAAACCCAACAAAACCCACTTCCGAACTCCGATCAGGAAAGGGGGAAATTAGAGATTGGCGGCAGATCAGGATCAGCGGAAGGATTAAATGGCGGAGGCGGAAGCTTCAAGCAGAAAATTGGGTTTAATCACAGAACCGGGGGAAAATCGAAAGGGAATGCCGCAGAGAGCGAGCTTGGGAAGAGGGAGAGAAAGAGAGATTCGAAAGGTTTGTCGTGCTTTCGTCGCTGACTCGCTGTTTTAGTGTTGTTTTAAGGGAAAACGCGGAATTTGACACGGAGGCTTTGGGAGACCGAGACCGAGACAGAGAGAGGGGAAAGGAAAGAGAGACGGTTGATTAGGAATTGGCAGAGTCCGGGAAAAGGAAGGAGGCGGCTTTTTAATTCAAGGGTAAGAGAAGAAAAACCAAACCCAAGGGGAAAATTAAAATATTAGAAATATATAATACTAACTCCAAAATTCCAAATTAAATTACCTGTGTAATGTGTATTGGTGTGAGCCCTACTACAAATAAGGACAGGAGATTTAGTACAGTCGCTAAACAATAGACTTATAAACGACAATAATTTACAGTTCGAGATTTCCAAAGAATGGTTGTCAAAAGAAAGAATATAATTTGCCAACCAAGAACTAACGGAACATTTCACAAAAATAATTACCAGAACAAAATTATCTATATATCTAGCCATCTGCCTAGCGGTGAACAAATTGACCCGAAAACTCACCCACCCGTGCCATCCAACCCAAACCAAGCTTAAACCCGAAGTTAGCTAAATGTAATGGGTGGATTAGGGTCCTAGAATGAAGATACGGTTACGTTGACTTATGGGTTGGTTGCGGGTTGGGCTTTTTAAAATCCGTGCAACCTGATCCGGCCCACTACCCGTGGAGGGAGGTGAAAGAAAGTGGGGTCCGATAAATTAAAATGGTTATATGTATGTATATACTTGTTTAATTTGGTTATGTTTAGAATTTATGACCCCATTCATATGTACTTTAATTGTCATAATATTGTGAAACACACAAATAAATTAGACAATATTGGTCATATATCATTGAAAATCTCTAATTTTATAGTTCTTATTCTAAAAATTTCTAATTCTACTAAATATGTGTACAAAAACCTCTAGCTATATCTAAAAAGCTCTTAGTTCAACAATTTTTTCCTATCAATATACAATTTCTTTGTCATCAAATGTGTTTTATAAAACGTTTGTGTGTATTAGATTTTGCTTGGGAACTATTTATTTTAGCTAGTTATTGAAATGTCACTTTTCAATTATGAGTTACATAAAATGTAAGGTACAAATCTAATAACTAATGGTATGATTAATGACTACTTGAATGAATATTTTTATGAAAAGTTACTTGATAATTGAATACAATGTTATAATATTTTTCGTAAATGGGACCCCCACTAAACTCAAACCCTGGCTAGTTCATTGCCCATCACCAAGATATCAACAAAACACACAGATTTATGTTTGTATATTTAACTTACTTAAACTAAGATTTTTCTCTCCCGTATCTCTAGTCTCAACCCTTCTCTATTTCTCTCGGTCTTTCTTTCCTCACTCCCTCTTTGTCGAAGTTTCTTCACCTTCCAGAACGAAATCTCGCCGCAAACTTCATGTCTAATCTACCTCCAACCACTGCTCTGCTCAAATAGCTGCATCTCCTTCTGGAAATCGGAACATCTCAAATCTGTCAACAAGGTTTTGAAATTTCTCTTCATTTTGAAGAACGCTTTCACTACTACTCCAATAAGTGACTAAGTGCAATCACATATTAGGAAGCAGTACAGTGGAAACTTAGTTTTACTTGTCAACCTAGGTCCCTACATGTACTATTACTCAGTGAACTGTCTATTATCTAGTAAACTGATTTCAATTTAATTACTAAAGCTAAAGTAACAAAGCAAATAACTTGAATCGAATTTAGACGCAAAAGATCACCTGGGTATGCTTCCCCTAGTCCTTAGTTAAAGTCTTTGATGATGTAACATCTGATGATTGGCTTATATGTAATGATTTGATTTCTCTTATCTTTCTGATAAATTTCTATGTTTTTTTATTGTCAATTCGATCGTATGTGTAAGACGATGACTATCTTCAAAGAATATATCCTCCTATTCGACATTGTGGATGGAAGATATTGGAAACGACAATCCTTCACAATCAATCATCAATCGATTGAACTGTGTGACTTCATCAAGGGAGAAATTAGTAGAGTCCATATCTTTGCCTACTAGTATGGTAGGAATAAACCTAGAAAGAGTCAATGAGGTCATACGTAGCCGGAATTAATCGTTGATTCTTGGTTGCATGTATGGTTGTTTCTTCCAATTTGCCTTGCTATGCTTATTGTGTTGAGATGCCTATGTCTCTAATGCCATACACATCTGGAAGCGGCCTTATTTCATAATGTGACATATGCAATCCATTATCGTACCTCCTACGTGCCTTGCCTAGATTGAAACCCACGATCATCATCGTGAGGGGGAAGCGGCCATTTAGGAGTACATTAAGAGGAGAAATCCATCGTGGATTCTCTCAAACACGATTATGTGTAATCAAAGTCTTAGTAGAGTAAAAAAAAACTCTAGGGGGAGCTTTACATGTGCAATGGCTCTCTCTTCTACGTCCTCACTCGCCCAGCTTCGCATAGATTTACTTTTCCTTCAATTGCTTACTTTACTTTCTGTTTTACAAAAATGGAGGCACCTCAACCTCCTACATACGTTTTTCAACCAATAGAACTCGTCCCTCAACACCTAAGTAAGTGGTTGGGAGAGACCGTAGGGAATACAATATGGCCTTCAGGCTAGGTAAATTTGATTCGCAACTACAATCAACGATCAGTGATGTATTTGTATTATAAGTAACAGTTTTAAAATGAAATTATGTAATGATTAATGCTTTTGTTAATATTTTTATCAATTTGAAGGGCTTCGAATTATTCGTAAAAAATCTAAATCGCCTAACTTGCGGAAAAATAAAGTTACAATAGGAGGTCCCCTTTTCAAAATGACTAGTGAAGATATATTTAACTCCTATTTTTTGAAGTAAAGTGGTTGCACATCACATTATTTAAAATACAATAGCCATTATGTAAGGTTCGCCTACGGTGACATGCATGTCACGGTGACTTGCACTTTTAGGTCGACCTAATATGTTGTTTCAGTGTAAAAACAGTTTCATGGTGCCTACTTTGGAGATTCATATCATACAATTGGCTAGATGGAAATTGAAGATTAATGGCTTGTTTTGAAGCTGGAGTGTCCCTCTACATATTGAAGTGATTGAGAGCTCGATAGGAATTTCAGAAGACCATTTTTGAACCTGATCAAAAGGTTATGCCAAAATTGGGAAACTGCCTGAAAATGGCCAAGTCTGAATACGTGTTTGTGAAGCCTACTTTGGAGCTCAATTCGAGAAGCATGAATGCAAGTCGAGTCCAGGGGTTTCTACCACGTTAAATTAGGTATGTTTTTATACAAATTCAAGGCATTGGATGAAAGATTGGATATCTGTAACACTTCAAACAAAAGGGTCGAAGTTGCTACGAAGGCTGTTTTTCTGGTAGACTTCGAGTACATCGTTTAGGACTTAGTCATGCCTCGACCCAGTCCTCCATTATGATCAATCTCCATAATCAGCTTAGAAACTCTCAATTCAAGAGGTGATTGTTGAACCTCCACATAATGGACACCTATGCCTTGAAGATGTTGACCTCTCCTTGTCGAACCTCTCGATTCAAGAGGCAATTGATCTTGATCCCGTCGATCAGCTCGCAGAACTAATTGAGATGCTATCGTGGGCACTCGCCCTTCAACCCGTTGAAAACCACCAAGGTATTTAGCATCTATATCACAGAAGTCTTCACCTCAAACACGCCACAAAATTCTTCACCTCAAACACACCTCAACTTGAGGGTGCTGAATATTCGGTCATAGGTCCTTGGGCCTAGGGTCAGGAAGTACCCCATGGTTCGCGCCTCCGGTAGAAGTTGACCCGCAATTGGTATGGGCGGCGGATGCTCTGCATTCACATTTCCCACTTGATTGTTGGGATCCCCCATCACTCCTTCGGCGATGATCTCTTCGTCACTCTCTTTCTCGTCCATGATGATAACCTGGTCCATGTCTTCTTCTGCAACCAGTCTCTCCTTTAGTGATATCTTGAAATGGCAAAGAGCATGTTCGAGCTCATGATCAAAAGGCAGTAGATTGTCCTACTGGCTCCCGGTCATGCACTACCTGCGCACATGCTGAAACCAAATCTGTGAAGCCAAAAGGAAGGAAGAAAGAAAAATATAGAAAGAAAAGGCTAAAGTAACAAAAATTCACTTTTTCAATAACCTAGCCGTCCCCGGCAATGGCGCCAGAAACTTGACTTGCTAAAACTATCACCCTAAGAAAAGAACAAGTGTAATCGTAACTCAGGGATGTTGTATAGTGAGTTCAGTTTTACTTCTCAACCCGGGTCCTAGATATAATGACTACTCGGTGAATTCTCTATTATCTAGCGGTCAAAGTGTAGAGAATTTTTGCATGCAAAAGAGAAATAAAAGAAGGTAAATGTTTTGATTTCCAAGTTTGAAAAAGAACACTCAGGTTAGCGTCCCCTAGTCTACAGTGAGGCTGGTTTTAAATTCAATTTAGTTGATATCTATACTGCGCAAAGTCTTTAGATAGTTTGGAGTCTTGACTAAATTTCTTCAGATCCTCTTGCATAGAAAACCAGGCGGGATATTGTCCTCCACCGAACCAAACTACCAAGGCAATTCAGACAGACTTCATCTACTAGAATTTGACTCCAAACATAGCAATGAATCAATTAAATCTAGTACAATTGATTCACTACTTCCAATTTAAGTGGAAACCACAATGCTGGAGATGGAGATCATTGTGTGACTGAATGAAATATTCTCGAGGGTGTCAAACTGTACTCCGGGGATGAGGAATCAAGCTCGAGTGGTCTTGGGCAACTTGAAACAGCTCCCAAGGTTTTTCTTCATCACCTTCTCTCTCTAGAGCTCTCTTAGCTCATTCACAAGTTGATAAATCGGATCCCCTTTTCTTTGCCCGAGTATGTCTTTTGTTTCCCTGAGAATTTGGAAGCCACAACACATGTAACGGCCTTGACTTGCACATTCTTCTCATGAGTTTCCAATGGCGTCATCCCCTTGAAAATGTGAACCAAGAGTCACAATTGTGGGCTAAGATTCATGGGCATAACCGTAACTTTAAGAGTCTGCACGTGACTAGTACTTGAAGCTTTTGTTTCCCTATCTTCCAGTCACGGGCTGGCAAGGGATGTCAGGTGTGTGACTGAGTAGTCACGGTTA